GGGAAAGCTGCTGCAAAGGGCACGGGGGAGAGCTGGCCGTGAAGCGACGGGTTAACACGGTTAGGCGTTTGCGGCTTTTTAAGTATCCTCGGTTAAAAGCTTGGAAGAAGGGACCTTTAAAAAAAAAAAAAAAAAAAAAGGCAACTTTTAAGATGATGTGTCTTGAATGAGCCGGGCTCGGTAATGCTCTGACTGTGTCTGCTCCAAAACGTTTCGTGCAGAAGAAAGCAAAAATAGGCCAAGTCAGAGAGGATAATTCAGCCGGACGAAAAGGGACGGTCGGTAAGAGCGGCTGTGTTTGGATGACTGTAAGCCCTTTAAATAGTCCATCCTCTGGGCTGTAAGCTCAGCCTCCAGGTTTGGGTAGGCTTTGCTTTTGGGGGTTACGGAGGTGGCAGGGCATTTGCAGAAGGCTTCTCACCTTTCCAGGGCTGCTCAACCCACCCCACCGCGGCTTTCCAGAGAGATGAGATGGTTTTGAGCCATCTCAGTCCTGGGACCTTCTGAGGGCCCTAATTTTTCCAAAAATGCTTGGCCCAAATGCCTTGAGGTTTTTTCCCTCCCCCCCTTAATAGTGGGAAAATAAATTGTATTTCCTTGGTGCGCATTTGTCAGCTATTCCGCAGGAAAGTGGCAGAGAGACGGTAATTGCTCCTCGCAGCACTGGGAGCGAGCTAACAAAATTACAGCTGGGAAGCATGGGGCTCTCTATCGCCGTGAACTTGAGGCCTTTTTATAAACAGAAGCTGCAAAAAAAGGGACAGGTATTGCTGAAAATAAGGAAAAGTAAGCCCCGAGTCCCTCCCGCCCTTGGCGATGGGCATGTCGCGAGGGGTTGGTGCTTCAGGTGAGCCTCAGCATCCTGCGGTCCAGGGGATCATGTCCCGCATGTGGCGGTGCCACCTTTGTCATTGTGCCACGGCCAGGGCGTCCTGGCAGACTTCGTGGAGGTGTTGGAGGGTTGATGGAGGCGTGTAACCCTTTTTGGGGTCATTGGGCATGGTTGGGGGGTTGATGGAGGCGTGTAACCCTTTTTGGGGTCATTGGGCATGGTTGGGGGGTTGATGGAGGCGTGTAACCCTTTTTGGGGTCATTGGGCATGGTTGGGGGGTTGATGGAGGCGTGTAACCCTTTTTGGGGTCATTGGGCATGAAATGCCATCCTCATTGGATGATTTCTTTAAGATCTTTTATTTGTCTTGTTATATTTGTGTTTAAACAGCAGCTGACAGAGATGGTTTCTCCTCGCAGCAAAGCCTCAAACCTGGTGGATGGGAAGGAGTCTGGGCAGGGGACAGGGACATCGGTGCTGGGGGAGAGGGCTGGTGGAGGAGGGTGATGCCTCTTGAAGAGGTCAAGAGGTCCTGGTCCTGCCTAGCCGGACGGGGAGGAAAAAAAAAAAAGACTCCTCCACATGAGCCATTGCGCTGGCTTTGGCTTCAAGTCACCCTCCGGAGGGAATGGTCTCCCTGATTTGCAGAGGTGCCAAAGCCTGGATGCCTCTGAGATGCCTCCAACCCACTACCTCCGCCCTCGAGCTTTGTGCATCCAGCAGCCCCTCCTCCCGGGTGCTCCCGCCGAGCTGATGCCATCCCTCTGTCCCCTTCCCAGGGATGCTGGTGCGGGAGGTGCAGATCGAGGTCTCCCGGCAGCAGGTGGAGGAACTCTTTGGCTTAGAAGATTACTGGTGCCAGTGCGTGGCCTGGAGCTCCGCCGGCACCACGAAGAGCCGCAGGGCGTACGTCCGCATAGCCTGTAAGTGCCCGGTACGCGTAGTGCTTGCTCAGGCGCGACCCCTCCGGCTCCCTGCCCCTACCTGCACCGCCTCGGTTCTTCTTTCGTTTAAATGAATGCTTCTCCCTACTTTATTTTCTACTTTGAGGGCCCTAAAAGGTTTCCAGAGGGTACAACCCACCGATTTAGAAATTGTTTGCAAAGCCTGAGGTGGGACCCTGGATCCCAGGCTGAAAAAGCAGCGGTGTCAAGCCAGGCGTGTGCTGCTTCTGGCAGCAACACCAGCTGAAATAGCAGCCAGGCTGTTCCTTCCCGGCTTCCCGTGACCCTCGAGACACGGTGGGTGCGGCTGAGTGGGGTTGACCGTCTCCAAAAGTTGGCTCCCTGTTGAAAGCAGTGCTTTTTGATCAGTTGGAGGTGACCCATCCTTGCTAGATAGCCTTAGGTCTCTTAGCTTCCCATCCCAGCTCTGGCTTTGCATCTGAGCAGGCATCATCCCGACCTGCCGTGGCACTACCTGGGTTAATACCGCATTGCCCATCAGCGTGCTCAGCTCTTCCCGGTGCTTTATTATCGTTAATAACCCAATGGTTAGCACCTTGCACGCTTTGCCTGAATCAGCGACTCCGTGTCCCTGGAGTCCCTTCTGTCATATGTCACTTCTCTAAGCTGCTGTTTGTGGGTGTCAGCCTGATTAAGGGCGAGTTAATCAGGCTGTTACCGAGCTGAATTCGCTCTCTTAGCAAATGAGGTGGCAAAGCTATAGGAGAAGGACCAGGCTTCCCTAGTCGTAAACAGATTTTGCTATTAGAGGGCTAATAATCCAGCATGTTACCCAAACCGGAGGGGGCTGGTGAATCAGCTGCGCTGCCGAAGGATTTAGTCTGAATGGAGAAAACGTTATGAGGCACAGGGCTGGCTACTGAGGGAGCCCTTTCATCCGGCCCCGGCCAAGGGTTTGGTGTCTCTCGGAGCCAAGCAGATGAGATGAACTGAGGGTTCGCTGCCCTGCGCGAGCCGGAGCCGCAGCCGTAGAGGGCTGGGTGCTGTAAGAGAGAATTGCAGCACCATCTAGTGATGCTCCTGCTCCTCTCCAGGCTCTGGAGCGGGACCCTGCCATGTCCCCCACGTCCCTGGGGGCTCTGCTGGGTTTCTCCCCTCTCCCCCTTCCCCAAAGCGCTGGCCAGCCCCTTGCTGAGCGAGCCTGGCTTTTCAGCAGCAGCCGTTGCCCGTTTGGGCACTGGAGTGCAGTGTCTGGGGTTCCAGCAAGTCTGGGGATGTGGCTCAGCCAGGACCAACGGGGGCAGAGCTGAGCAACAACCCCCCGTAGCCCTGAAATTTGGGGGTTCGCTTTGGCGCCCAGGCGGGAGCCGAGCTGTTGTGCAAGTCTTGGTTTTTTCCCCCTTCAACAAAGAAAGGTCCTGGAGTAGAGAGCCCAGAGGGGGAAAGAAACAGTGGTTAAGCTGAGGTTTAGATCCAAAAGTCAATGACAGGAGGGAGTATAAACTTGCAAGCGCGGGAAGGAGGAAAGGCACCGTCCTCGAGCACCACGTGCTGTCCCAAATCCATCCTGGAAAGATGCTGCTTCGGCTCCTTCCTCCCAGGACGTGTTCTGCTCCGGCTGTGTTACACCAGAGCGATTTCCCCGCTCGTGGGCTCCTGGTGCCGAGGCGATGCTCTCTCCCCTCCGGGGTTTTGTGGGTTGCCCTGTTTCCACAGCGGGCTGATAACACCTGGGTTTTCCTTCCCCTCCCCACCAGACCTGCGGAAGAACTTTGACCAGGAGCCGCTGGGCAAGGAGGTCCCGCTGGAGCACGAGGTCCTGCTGCAGTGCCGCCCGCCCGAGGGGGTGCCGCAGGCGGAGGTGAGCAGCTCGGCAGCCCAAAAAATCACCCGGTGGGGTATCCTCTCCCGGCGGTCTGCAGCCGCGGCCGGGGACAGACGGGGCACGTCCTTGCAGGTGGCTTGCGGCCGTGATGAATGGCCTCGCACCGAGACCATCAGCTTTCATTATTCAGCAGAATTGTTTATTTTGGGCAGTGGATCTGTTATTCTGACATCTAATAACACACCTCAGCACCTGCTCAACCCACCTCTCCTATGCTTCCCGATGTGCCATTAACCCATTAGAGGGAAGATCTAACGAGGAGGCACCCGATGAGTTCTCTGAAGGGGAAGTCTTTCTGGAGTGAACCAGCAAGAGCGTTCGCAATACACCTCAACTCGTGTTGTATGCAGCTTTGCGTACTGCTCGTTCCGACAAAAGCTGGAAGATGCTGCCAAGAAATAATGAAAGGGTTAGAAAATAAAGCCTCTAAGGAAAGTTTGAAGGAACAAAATTTACTTAGGCTAGAAATGTCAAGACTGAAGTAGTCCTAGGACAGGCATTTCTTGTGGATAGTGGTTAATCTGTCTATCGTCTTGTGACAGAGAGCAAGAGCCAAGGGCTGGGAAAGTCCATACAGCTGGGTTTCCCTAGCACGGTAGCGGTGCTTTCCCTGCCCACAGCTCCGTCAGCCCCAGGAGCTGAGCGTTGGTGGTAGCCACAATGTCCCATCCTTGGCCAAAACAGCAGTAAGGTGCCCCGGTCAGGCCTGGTTTGGCCAACCTTTCGAGGAGAAATAAGTACAGTCAGAGGCAAAGTTGGCCAGCCGGTGGTTGTGGTGCTGAGGGCGTCGGTGGTCTTGGTGATGAAGATAGGGAAGGCTTTGGGGCAGGTCATGGGCTGGTCGGGGGGGGTTTGCTGTCCATCAGGGCTGGTGAATTCAGCCCCTCCAACCTGACGTTTGTCCTTGCTCGTGCCCGCATCCATGCTCGGTATCGACTCACACCCTTCCCAAACAGCCTAGTTAAGCAGTTGTGTCCTGGTTTAGTTTTGGGGCCCTTGGAGACCTCATGGTGGATCTACCGAAACCCATGACGTGCTGCTTTTCCTGGCTGAGTGTTCAGTTCTTCTTCAGCTTAATCACCGTCCTTACCCATCCCTTCCTTTGCATTGCCAGGTGGAGTGGCTGAGGAACGAGGATGTCATCGATCCCACCCAGGACACCAACTTCCTGATCACCATCGATCACAACCTCATCATCAAGCAGGCCCGGCTCTTGGACACTGCTAATTACACCTGCATGGCCAAGAACATCGTGGCCAAGCGCCGGAGCACCACGGCCGCCGTCATCGTCTATGGTACCAGCCCTTGCTCTTGGGGAGGGGGCCATTGCTGCCAGGTCTCCAAGCCAAGGGGAAATACGGGCACTTTCTGGGAGCGGTAGGAATGAACCCCACCACGGCATTGCATTAAATTAAGTATAATACCCAATGCCTGCAAAACAGGAACCTCTACCAGTTTGCACAGGCTATTAGGAGAGGTTATTAGGCATAGGTATTTGCAAGCCTTCTCAGTTGGGTACGAAGGTGGGTGGAGGTTGGACCCAGCCAGATCGCTTTGACTCTCAAAGCAGCTGAAAAGCTGCGTTTGGCTGAACTTTGCTATGACACCAAAGATCTGCTGTGGCCAGATGCAAAAATATTTGCAAAGTGGAAAAAGGACCAAAGCATTTTGTGCGTGGGGTGTGCCACACGAGGAGGAGTCTCGTGATTTGCTTTTCATGAGGGTGAGCTGTTCCACGGTGTCACAGAAGATGTAAGGGCAGAGGACCTGGTGAACTGTAGGCTTAGCTCCAGCTTAGCTGAAATGGGCTCTGTTGATGTATTAACACTGTCCGTCTCCTCTTGCAGTGAACGGTGGCTGGTCCACCTGGTCCGAGTGGTCTCCTTGCAACAACCGCTGTGGCCGGGGCTGGCAGAAGCGCACCCGGACCTGCACCAACCCCGCGCCGCTGAACGGCGGCTCCTTCTGCGATGGGCAGCCTTTCCAGAAAATCACCTGCACCACCCTCTGCCCAGGTAAGGCGGGTTCAGAAACCTTGCCCACACTGCCTGTCCCCCAGGTTGCACGGTCCAACTCTGCTCCTGGTGCTCCCCAAGGGGACAGGGGCTCAGGAGACCACTCCGAAGCATCTTTCAGTCTGCCAAGACCTGAAAGAGCTGGAGATGCCTGCAGAGAAACGACTTAGCCTCCCCAGATAGCATCAGGGCTGGGTTTGCTGGGATAACGCTCCCCGAAGGTCTCTGGAAGCCCTGAGATGGGCATGGGCACCTTTCTGCTGCCGGAGACATCC